ACACCTTTAATCCCAGCACTTGGGAGGCAGAGGCAGGTGGATTTCTGAGTTCGAGGCCAGCCTGGTCTACAGAGTGAGTTCCAGGACAGCCAGGGCTACACAGAGAAACCCTGTCTCAAAAAACCACAATAAAATAAAATAAAATAAAACAAAATAAAATAAAATAATTTCCTAAAGCACATTAACAAGGAAATAAGATTAGGATTTATAATTAAAGGATAAAAGTGATGGTTTTATTCTATCTACATTACTTCCACAGTCACTTCAGGATTATTCAAAGAGTTCTCAGTTACAAAGACTCTATGAACTCCCTGAGGTTTATTCCTGTCCTCCACAGAGCAAATGATTAGCTGAATGCTCTGTGAACTTTTACAAAGATCCCTTTTTCCTCAATTTCTATCCATCTCAAAGATGGATTCTTCTTCCGTCCTAAATAACTCATCATCTCATTTCAAAAATCTGACAATAATGAATTATTAGCATGAGTAAACCCTTTTAAATCCCTCTACTAAGTATTCATCATCTCATTTCAAAAATCTGACAATAATGAATTATTAGCATGAATAATCCCTTTTAAATCTCTTCCTCTCAACAATTCGGTAGTCAATAAAATGTCTTGATTTACATCTTATGACCAAAGCATTTAAACCTGCCCTCTCAAATAAAAACACTTCTGGGTAAAGTCTGAGTTTAGTATTTTCTTTTCCAAGCTCCAGGACCAATTAGTAACAAAACTCATGAACAAAGTCAGGCAATAATTAATATTCTAATTAATAAGCCAGCATTTAGAAAAATATAATCCTTTTCCTAAGGAGGCAACTTTGGCCTCAGTTCAAGCCTAAGATTAGTGGACATTACAATTTTCCAAGAAAAAGAATAAAGAACTTCCTAAGAGATCCATAAGTCTTCCTTTAATAAAGCTAACACTGCTAATCTGTTCAGCAATATGGAAATCCTTTCTTATCCAGATACCCAGTACTCTGAAAGTATCCTCAGTATAACAATGAGAGACAGGGTATTTTCTAAAGGCCTGCTGTGATCTATCAAGACTGTTAAAAATAAACAAACAAACACCACCACCAACAACAACAAATATTAAAAACAAGAATGAATTCTAAAATTAATACAACAGGGGACATATAAAAATGATTTTTATAATTAGAAAATGGCCATTATTTTTTTTTTTAAGCATCAAATCTGAATGGCTAGAAATGAGGGTAAATTTGGCTTGAAGAAGACTTGAATCACATGGAGCAAGCTTTGGAAGGATATGTGGCTCTCTGATAGAAATAAGGGGAGGGGGACACAATCTCAGGCAGAGGAAACAACACGACAAAACATCTGGTGATGAAGCATTAGTCCACTCTAAAGATGAGAAAAGATAAAAGCAACACCAAGCTCAAGGGTAAGCGAGCTGCCTAAAGTCACAGGAACATTACCTAACCAAGTGTAAAGCAGAGCACGGGCTTTCTGCCTTCAATCGGCTTTGTACGCCAGGAAATGCTAGTGCATGTTGGACAAGAGCATCAGATAAGGCTTATCTCCTACTTTACTCCTTCCTAAGAGATGGCCTATGGCTGACCCAGATTTTTTTTAGGGGACTTGGGGTGTGTGTGAAGGTACTGACTACACCAGGCCCCCTAAGCTTAAGTACTTAACCTATCTCCTTTGTCAAACAGCCGGAAGTCATCCTTGGTCTGAGAATATCAAAACCCTGAGTGAGTTCTTGGGTGACATCATTGTCTCACAGATCTCACTGTACAATGTATCAAACACTTCCCACAAGTCTCCGAAAGCTAGTGCCTTTACAGCCTGGTATCCCTGAGAAAAGCCCTGTAAGGTAGTATAGAGCCTTTTAAAATGTTCAAAATTGACTTAATTAGATATGGGGGTAATCAAAAAGGGGGACACATCAAGCCTGAAAATACATACAAAGAAGAAAATCTAAAACTTTTCGGTCACCAGGATATAGGGTGTAACTGGGGAGTGCATACAAACTACCTTTAGGTATGCTACTTATATCAAAGTAGTTCAGACCAAAAAAAACCTCCTAATTTTGTTTACTAAAGGCTCAGATGACAGTTCTAAGGTATCTAACAACTTTGCCTCTTGAATACAGTTAAGGAGGCTAGCCATTCAAAACATTCAGGAATTTTAGGACACTAAAATGTCCCAAGAAACTGGGCATTAATCAGTCTATAACCCAAAATACTGTTTGCAATAACAGATTTCCTTAAACTGGTTGTATGAAAGCAACTATAAGATGGCTTCTGTGTGTGTGTTTGTGTGTATGTACTTGTTAGTGTACTGTGTGCACATGTGCATGCCCATGGGTGTGGGTGCCTGAGACCAACATCTGGTGTTTTGATCACTCTCTCTCTTCACCTTTATTGAGACAAGGTTTCTCTATGAACCAGAAACTCTTCTCAACCAGGGTGGCCCAGTCAACGAGTTTCAGGGATCTGCCTGTCCACACACTCCCTGGTGCTGGGGTTAAAGGACTGTGCTGTGACCTCTCCTCACTCACCCATGCCTTTTTACATGGGTTCTGGTGATCTGAAGCAGATCCTCGTGCTTGCTTAGCAGACACTTTACCAACTGAGCCATCTCCCCACCCCCGGTTTTCTGATCTGTTAACTTGATACGATATATACCTTGTGAAATCTACAGGACACAAACAAATTAGAAATCAAACACTGGAGAAGGGTGTGGACCATCACCTACCTCTAGAACTTCAACAATATATACAGTAATCCATCCTCACTTTCCTTAGGGATGATCTGGACTATACTACCCAGGAATGCTTCCTCTCAGGTGGATTTTTCAGCTGTCTGTGGATCAGATCAGAGGCCCCCAAAGAGCAGTTTTGAATTTGACAGCACATCTCCAGACCAACAGGCAACTACCAGTTTCTCCCCACGGTGTCTCCCCACGGTGTCTCAGTGTGGTAAAAAGGAATGGTGACTTCAGCATCTCCGAACTGCTTAGCATCTTCATTGTCAAACTGGCATCATCCATCCCATTTCTGTGACTTCAGCACCTGCTAACGTTTCTGCTGCTTCTCAGCCCTCACCTTACAAAGCCCATGTGTCAGTTTCAGGAAACAGAGAAGAGCACTTCCTTACAAGGATCCAAAGCTCAACCACCTAGATTATACCAGCTAAAGGAAGGGCCGAGAAATGAGAGGGGTATTCTTCTTGATTTAAATATGTTTCCTTGTGAAACAGTTGCAACATGACCTGAGCTATAAGATGAGCAACTAAAAACTGAACCATTGAGGGTGGAAACAAGTGTAATACTTTAGCCCTGGTTAAACTAAAAATATTCCCAGGAAATTAATGGTCAATTTCTGGGCAGTGGGATTGCCTAAACCACAGAAACCAAGTTGTGTTTTTTTAATCTGCAGACCTAAATTTCACTTGGAGTGATATTTTTACCAACTGTTCACAGAACTTTTGTTATGGATCAGGTCAAAGCAGAAACAGCCCAACACTAAGTCTCAACCCCAACAGTGAATGTTGTCACCCCACCACACATCTGCTTTTATAGATCAGCAAGGCTTCAACAGTGTCTAGCATCAATTCACAGAAAAACATAAAGTAGTAAAAATTTGGAAAACCAGATTAGTAGTAGAGGGAGAAAATTCTACTTCATTTGGTTTTTCCCAAACATTACATACATGCAAATGTTAAGTGTAAAAAAGCTAAATTGTGAAAAGTTTACACCCTAAGAAAGTAACTTAAAATACTGGGAACTTAGACTCACAAAATATTCATTGCTCTGGCATAATTTTCCAAGTTTTAATACTTAAGTGTCTGAATTAGGAGTCCCAGGATGACATCAGAAAATTTTAAAGTAACATTTAACATGCTTACTCCTGGGGTTTTAATAAAATTCCAAATCCTTGAAAGGGGAGTAACATCAAAAACTGAAGTGGGAGAATCCAAAAGGAGCAAATAGCATCAAGATTTAAGAAGGAATGTTTATATTCTGCTGAAGAAAGAACAGTTATCAGCCATTCTAACACAACTGAATTTTCAACATATAAAATATCTCTTACAGCCAGGGATTATTTGGGAGACTGGTTCCATTCTGAGGATAAAATAATCTCAATTAAAAAAAGTTTTCAACAAAATAGCAATAAACTCTACTGATTTAATAAGTTGGGGGAAGTCAATCTAACATCAAAGGATCGTTTTAAAGACTACGGATAGCAATGACAATCAAACTGGCCTGTCTCTGAGTAAGATTCTATACTCATCGGTACGGGCTCTCACAAGAGCCCCAAATGCACGGGAAAGAATTAAGTGGGTTAAGTGCGGACTGGATGACTGTGTTTTGAGACCTGCTCACAGGAAGCCACTACATCCTGCCCGAAGTCCCTGTCAGTCACGCCGTCTCTCGGTTCAAGTCCCCGCCACAGCAAGGTGGGGCGGGCACAGGTGTCCCGCCCAAGCCTCTCGGACGCCCGGCTCGCCCGCGCGTTCTGCCGGCCCGCCGGCTCCCGCAGCCCCCAGAGCTCGCCTCAACCTCGCACCGGCTTCAGAACCCCAGGGAGCTCACACCCCCTCCTCAGCCCGCCGCCCGGCCCGGCCCGGCCCCGCCCCAGCCGGCCTCCCTCCTCCAGCCGCGCCTCCCTTGTAATTACCACGGGGCTCCCACCTCGGGCCGCTCCCGTCGTCCGCGGCCGCCCGCAGGCCTGCGTCGGAGGGAGGCCGGAAACTCCGCGCGCCCCCGGCCGCGCCCCGGGCTCCCGCGTCCAGGCCGCGCTCCAGGCAGCGCCCCTCACGCCGGTCCGCGCGTGCAGGTCCCTACCCCGCTCGCCCCGAAGGGAGCCCCGACCCGCACCGGGCAGTCGGTCGACGCGGCGCCTCCCCCAACACACCCCCATCCAGTCTCACCAGTCCCGGGCGGCCGCCGGTGCCGCCGCCCCCGCGCGTGCCCGCCGCCCACCCTCCGCCGCGCCGCCCCGGGGTCCCCTCAGCCCCGGCCCCGCTTACAGATCCTGCCGCGCAGGCTCTGCAGCACTCGGACCTCACGACTGTCCTCGTCTCCCGTCTCGGGTTCTGCGGTGCCCGTGACGGCCGGCGCCTCGGGAGAAGCCGCCGCAGCAGGCGCTGCCGCCGCCATGGTGCCGCCCGGCCCCTACCGCAGCCCTACCGCCTGCGTAGCCCGGCAAGGCGGAGCCGGAGCGAGGCCTAGGCCGGATCGAGCCTCTCTCTAGCCCCGCCTCGGCTTCGGGCTGGCTCACCACGCCCCTCGCGCCGTGCCCGCCCTGCATCCGCCTCGCCCAGCCTCTCTGCGACCCGGCTCTGGCTCTCCTCCCTGGGCAAGTCGTGAGAGCCTCTCTGAAACCCCCACGAGGAGGAAGACCCTGGCCCTGCTGTGATCCTCAGAATCCCGGGAATTGGCCGAACCGACTTCCTGGTCCCCTGATGCTCAAGGAAAACAGGAGTCCCCAGTCAGAACGACTCCAGGTTCAAAGAAAAAGTTTGGCATTTTGGCAAACATTAAGAGATGTATTAGAGACTCTTCCAACAGTGTCTAGATGCTCCCGCACGTTGGGACAAACCACTCATGCAATCTTTGCTCTGGAAACGTTGCTCTGCAAAAAGTTGGGTCAAGAAAAGGACCACAGACTCTGTCCAATCCTGTCCGAGACCCACAGGAATTCTGAATTTATCACCAGTTGTGTATTTCAGAATCAGAACAGTGACCTCTTTCCCACTCCCACAAGCAGGCTTTTTAGAAAGTATATTGGCCCTGGGAAGTTTGTAAATCTTCAACTAGTTGTTGCCACTATCTTAAGGGAACTATTTACAGTGAGTAAACTGTGTGAATAATACCCTGGTATGTGATGAGAGGGATGATTTCCTGGTCCTGAGGTTAACTGCGCTGCCCTAAGAAGGAAGAAACTGATTTAATAGAGCAGGGTTGTTCTTTGTCAGGTATCTACTGGAGTCAGCCAGTCAAGGAATGTTTTTTAAGGGTCAGACATATAGGGATGGCCTTAGAGCAAAAAGGTGCTCAGACTTTGAGCACCTCAATCTGGAAAGGCACACAGATGGACTCGAATGTGGAAATAGGAAGTGAAGGAGAGCCTTCCTGCGAATGAGCCTTCCTGGGAAGAGTGAATGGAAGACAAGCAAGCCCAGAAGCCGCTTGTGCGAAGGCCAGTCAGGCAGACCGAGTGGCCTAAGCTTTCTAGGTGTCTTAGGCTACAGAGCAATACTTCTCATCCAGCTTGTGATTCGTCACGATGCCCCTTTTCCTGTATGATGCAGCTTAGAGAAAGTGAGCGTACCTCCTCTTCCAGCCATTTTGGTGTCATTTCAAGCAATATTCCAAATTTTATTTTCCCTTTTTTCCAATTCAGAGCTCATGCCACAGGCTGGAGACTGGCTTTTCCTATTTTAAAACCTTTAATGCTTTATTGGTATGTCTTACTTATACACAGTCATGGTGTGATACCGTTTCATACACGTGTATCATGTAGTTATCAGATTCACTTGGTCAATACCCTCTTCATCACCTTCCAAGTCCTCTCTTCCCAGCTAGCTTTCTTCTACTCTGGTGCACCGGAAGATCAGTGGACGACTGTTGGGAGATGGTTCTCCTTCCATCGTGGGTTTTCTAGAGCTTAACTCAGCCATCTGGTTTGGTATTAAGAACCTTTAATCACTGAGTCATCACACCAGCAAGATTTTTTTTTTTAGTTCAATGAGTTTATGAGAGTTGTTTCCAGAAGCATAGGCGGAAGCTTTCCTCTGTCTCACCTTCATTTCTGCATGTCCTGTGGTCTTTTCAGCTTCACAAGTCTAGTTCTGGTGGGCAACCGACCACAGTGGTGCTTGCCTATATTGTTTGGAAGCCTGATGGGCCAATCTGACCAACAGCAGCTCCTAGGGAGATGGCTCACTCCCAGCACAGGGTTTGGATTTAATGACCTATGGCTTCTCAGAACAAGTTTTATCTACTTACACAGGATGCCTACATCAAGCTCCTTTTATTTAATTCAACGTTCTTAAATTATCAAATCAAGTATCTGGTTTGCTTGTGGCTTTTCATAATCCTTACTTTCAGTTCCCTCCTCCACTATCCCTCATCTAGAGATTAATTTTCCTATACCTTTTTGTCACAGTGTCTCCTGTTGTCACATCTCTCTGACAGATGAAACCTCTTTTTTTTTTCTTCCATTCTGTCATGGCACTTCTTTAAAACCAAAAACAAGACTTCATCTGAAGAGTGTCCATATTTCATTTTTTTTCAAAGACATGACTTTTTAGGTCATATACAGAACCTGATCCTATCCTTTTACAGCTGTGATGTTTGGGAGTGATATTCAAGCTTTGTAAAAGTACTTCCCCCCCCCCCCGCCGCCCTTGGGGTGGGAGAAATGGCTCAGTGGTTAAACTGGCTGTTCTTCCTAAGTTCAATTCCCAGCACCCACATGGCTGCTCATAACCATCTATGACAGGATCTGATGCCCTCTTCTGATGTGCAGACATATATACAGACACAGTACCACATAATAAGATACAAAATAAATACATTTTAAAAAATGTTTTCTTAAATTGTATTCTCTGGGAACTTCACACACACACACACACACACACACACACACACACACACACACACGCACAGACACACGCATGCACACACACGCTATATTTTGATCCTATTTACTCCCCTATTCTTCTCCCACTCCTACTGAGATTCTTCTTTTCCCCCAAAAAGTCCTCATCCTTGTGTGTGTGTATGCAGAGGGCGAGAATTGTCTATGACTCTGTGTGCGTGTGCGTGTGCGCGTGCACAAGTGCCCAAGTGTGCCATAGAGTCTAATTAGGGCTGTGGATCAAGGCTAATTTATTGGAGCAATTTAACAGTGGCTGCACCCCTGAAGAAAATGATTCCCCTTGCCCCAGCAGTCATTCATTAACTGCCTATATAGCTCCTCAGAGAGGGGAGGGTGCTTATGAGCTCCTCCCCCACCAGTGCTGGAATGTTGACCCGGTTAATCTTGTGTAGGTAAGCACAGCTGCTTGGAGTTCATGAGCACAAAGGCCGGGTCAAGTCCAGAAGGCAGCATTTCACAGCTCTCCTCCCCATCCTCAGGCTCTTACGGTCTTCCTGCCCCATCCCTCCCTGACGTTCTCTGGACCTCAGAGGTGGTTGGTATGGATGTCTCATCTCAGGCTGAGCATTTCTCAGTCCCAGATTCTCAGCTCTTTGGCTAGGTGTGAATCTCTGCATCCACCTCTGGCCACTGCAAAAGGTGGCTTCTGACTAATGTCTAAGAACAGCACTAAGCTATGTGTTTAAACATCTTCGTGTGCTTCTCTGATGCAGAATGGAAGTGTTACACTGGTTTTTCCTTCTCTGAAGGAATATCATTAGTATTAAATAATTGTTGAGAATGTGTCTGTGACGTATCTAGTAGTTCAGTAAGTGTCAAGTCATGCCCTTGACGTGAATGCTTGTGATAAGTCCACCACCCCTCTCATTTCCCTTCTGCACCAATTAGTATTAATCTAAAGCAAGAAACAAACAAACAAACAAACAAAAAACAGGAAGCTTGTTTGCTTTGTGGAAAACAAACCTAAATAACAACATCACCACCACCAACAACAAAGACCTTATGAATGGCTTCATTCAGTGTATCTGTCACCAAGTAAGCGTGTAGTACAGGTCATGAAGCATGTTAAAGATGACTAATGAATGAAGGCCACATTCCTCAGCCAGGTGTTCAGGGTTTAGATCTGACCCAGCCTACCTCGAACCCTTCCTACCTCAGTCACTTTGAGCCACTTTCCCCAACGACTTGTTACTCCCAGCAGTTAGGAGGCAGTTGCAGGCCAATGTCTGTGAATTCAAGACCAGCCTGCATCAACTTCCAGTTCAACATCAGCTTCCATCCCAGCCAGGGCTACCCTGTCTCAAAAAAAAAAAAAAAAGAGCCTGGCCCAGGGTTGCCTCATCTTCCTCGCCTTTCTCTCCAGGGCAGTAGTTCTCACGTGAGCCATTGTATAGTGATGATTACCTTCTACTAGATATTATATAAAACCCTCCCAGCACAAAGAGAGAGTAATGGAGGGCTGGTCGATTAGGGGTTTTATCTCCTGCACTCCAAGTTCTTTAATGATTTCAGTGTGTTCAATGCATGAATGAGCGATGTATTAACTCACTTCCTCTGTTCTGCAGTCTTGGAGCTTCCCTATTTTGAAATTTCTCACTTGTAATTTGTTATCATAGTTGTCCAAACGGCAGCCATCTGACTTGAAAACTTTAGTGACATCCTCCAGGTAGACATCCAAAGCTAGCTTTTTTTTTTTTCCTTTGAAAAATTTACCAGTGCTTATACCAGATTCTTCTAGTTTCCCTTCTTTTTCATGAACTCTAAATTATTACTAAATTATTACTAAAGCTATAAAACAATTTCACTTGAAGCAACATTAATTTTTCTGCCCAGGACACATCTTCCTGTAGTAGAGTTCAAAGTTACCACATTGTTCTGCTAAGACATCCAAGCTCTCTTTCTTTTCCATCAGAAGTCTCCCCCTCCTCCTCCTCTTCTTCCTCCTCCTCCTCTTCTTCTTCTTCTTTTTGTTTATTTTTTTGTTTTTTGTTTTTTTTCTTTTTCGAGACAGGGTTTCTCTGTGTAGCCCTGGCTATCCTGGAACTCACTCTGTAGACCAGGCTGGCCTCGAACTTAGAAATCCGCCTGCCTCTGCCTCCCAAGTGCTGGGATCGGAAGTCACTTCTAATCACTCCATGTCTGAATGAGCACTTTAGAAATGATTTTTTATTTCAACTGGTGCTGAAGAAATCTTTACTAGTCATTTTTTCCTTAATATAAAGCATTCAGGAAATCGAATTTTACAGACTAAGGTCTGCACCCCAAGCTGCAAGACTACTTTTCCATCTCGTTTTGTCTATGGCTCGTGCGCTGGGTTTTGAATTCGTCTAGAGTTCCTCTCCTCACTGTGTTTGGTAACGGGAACAATATTGCAGCAGACACAATCTTGCAGTTCACTTCCTTCCCCATATTATTAATGAATGCGTTTAAAACTTATCTCTCCCCACCTCTTCTCTGTTCTGATGAGCCATCATTCACTGCTTCGGCTTTTCTGATGTCTTAGCCAGTTTTAAGCCCATTCATTTGTTTAA